CTTCTCTCGCTTGCGCACGCTTTCGGGCGGCTTCGCGGTCGGCGGCTGACACTCGGGCACCTGCTCCAGGGCGCTTTCGCTGACGGGGCGGTGACCGTGATGGAGATCTCGAGGGTGAGCGCGCACGCTTTCTGCCTTGGTCGTTGTTCGCCATGTTGTGAAGTTTGGTGGTACGCGTCTGAAGGCCGGCTCCAAGTCCGACGCGTTGGATGAGGATGGGTGGTTTGCAGTGGCTCGGCTGAGATCTTCCAGGGACTGTTTTGATGCGAAAGGCAGAATTGAATCTCTACTGGAAACAGAAAGAGAGACTGAGAAGATAGGAGGAGCGAGTGAGGTAGCTTCTGTAGTTCTAGTTTGCGCTGGTCTCAAAGGCTGTCCGTGCGCGAGCTTTACTACGTCGGCGGAAGTCGAGCGGCGGGCATCATTCATCATAGCAACATCGCACACGGTCACGCCCCGTCCACCTTTACCACCACCCACCACCGCCTATCCTCTCACACCGCAAAGCAAACTCCAAGATGGGTGACCCGCAATTCGCCAAGTACCCCGACCTCCAGCTGTCGCAGAACATCTTCCAGCTCACCAATCCCTCCGCCTCCAAACAAGCCAAGCAATCCGCCCTCAAGTCGGTCCAAGATGCCATCACCGAGAACAAGATGGCGCCGCTCTACCGGTACCTCGCCCACCCGGTAGACGGCGTCCTGAATGCACAGGGCGAGGGCAGCGCAGACCAGCCAAACAAGAACCGGAGACCGTCTACCAGCTTAGCGACGATGCTTGCCACACGCACGCCCTCGTTAGAAGTTCCGCTGTCATGGGACGAGAACCTCTATGAGAGCCTCAAGGCGGAGAGCGAGAAGGAGCTCGAGGCGATACAGAAGGAGGAGGAAGAGGCCGAAGAGAAGGCAGGCGAGACCGAAGTACAGGCTGCGAGGGGCAAGCGCGCAGAGCTCTACAACCGCATAGGCGACAAGGTATGCAGAGCAGTATATATTGTTATATGATAGGACTAACAAGACCAGGACAAAGCCATTGCCAGCTACGAGGCCATCTTCGAGAAGACGGGCATCCTAGGCACCAAGATCGACCTCGTCCTCGCCATAATACGCGTTGCGCTCTTCTTCGGCGACAGGATATTGGCCAAGAAGTCGATTGACCGGGCAAGCGCATTGGTAGAGAGCGGTGGTGACTGGGATCGCCGCAACCGCTTGAAGGCATACACTGGTCTACACTACCTCACCGTCCGATCACACTCGCAGGCCGCCCCGCTACTGCTCGACAGCTTGTCAACATTTACCAGCTACGAGTTATGCAGCTACTCAAATCTCGTTGTCTACGCCATTCTCGCCGGTTCGGTGTCACTCAAGCGTGTTGACTTCAAGTCCAAGGTTGTGGATGCGCCTGAGATCAAGGCCATTGTCGGAACCTCAGAAGAGAAGCTCTCGGCAATCACTGGCCAGGCATCGGCAGGACCAACAGCTGGTGACGAGGAGATGGCAGATGCGTCAGGCTCGACAGCAACACCAGTGCCTACCCTCGTTAACCTCACCACTCTCGGCGGACAACAAGAAAAGGAAGTGCCAGTTGACTTCACACCACTGTCGAAGCTCGTCAAGAGCCTGTACGAGGGTGACTACAAGACCTTCTTCGGCGCTCTTGGTGAGGTAGAGACCAACTTCCTCAGCCAGGACCGCTACATGTACGAGCACCGTGGCTGGTACGTGCGTGAGATGCGCCTACGGGGATACCAGCAACTCCTCCAGTCGTACAGGGTCGTCGGCCTCGAGAGCATGGCCAAGGACTTTGGCGTCACCGTTGACTTCCTTGACAAGTGAGTGATATCCATCTTTCCCGTTCCAGCATCTTTGACTAACAACAACTAGGGACCTCGCTCGATTCATCGCCGCCGACCGCATACCCTGCACGATCGACCGCGTCAAGGGCATCATCGAGACCAACCGACCCGACGACAAGAACAAGCAGTACGCAGACGTAGTCAAGCAGGGTGACCAGCTCATTACCAAGTTGCAGAAGTACGGTCAAGCCGTCAGGCTGAGGGGCAGTGAGCGCGGCTAGACTGTCACGATGAGGTGGACGTGTAATGATCTTGAGGCATTGTAGACTTAGACATACCAGCGAAAAGACGCTGAATGGAAGCAAAAGCATACCATGACCGTCTGCGCTTTCCTGTTGTGGCTCACCGGGTGGCATTGCCATATTCGCGTCGGGTCTAGCTCCGATATCTCCGTGATGCATGTGCGGCTCAACGAGCGTATTATGAAGGTGCGGTGAGATAACACAAAAGCAATGCTCCCTTCCATCGTACAACATACCCACGCGGCGTCCCGTGTCTTCAAAACTATTTCTACGCCCACGTTTACATCACATAGTTCGTAACAAGCTCCAACCCAAGCTCTTGGTTGAGACCCGCGTGGGTGGGGTCATCGCCTCGAGCAGCCGCCGATAAGCATCAATCAGGGTCCATCGACATGTCGCCGTCATCGGCTCTGAAATGCGCCTGTTCACTACGCCCTCCAGCCATGGCCAGTCGACGCCTTGGTGGCAGCGTGGGCTCTAGAGGTATTTGATCCCACTGCTCCTTTGTGCATGCGACGAGTAAAGCGTAAGAGATTGGCATATCCGCAACGCGCCGAGCCACCGAGGGGCAGCATCGTAGTGGCTCTACCCTACAAGTAGTGGGGCACCACGCGACGCAGCATAAAAAATATAGACCAGCCATTGACGCACATCATCTGCGTGTTTCGAGTACGTCGCGGGATTGAGTAGCGCTGGGAGATACACTTTTCGCCTGAGCTAAGTTATAGTCTGGACGTGTGCTCACCACCTTAGTCCTGTATAGACCCTTCACCTCCTCCACCCCTCAAACCCTATCTCCCTTCCTCGCTGGACGCGTAACGACCCAACTCTACAACCCCCCGTCGCACCTTCCCCATAGTCGAAGCATCATGTCCAAGGCCCCGCAGAAGGTGTTGCAGATTGGCAACATCAACCCGCACGTCAAGGCAGCCAAGTATGCCGTCCGCGGTGAACTAGCCGTCAAGTCGGAAGAGTACCGCGCCAAGCTGGCAAAGGGCGAGGGCAAGGACCTTCCCTTTGACACTGTCATTGCGGCCAACATCGGAAACCCCCAGCAACTAGACCAAAAGCCAATCACATTCTTCAGGCAGGTCGCGAGTATACTCGAAAACCCCGGCCTGTTGGAGCACGAGGATGTCCTGCTCAAGAGCCTGGGATACAAGTCGGATGTGCTTGACCGCGCAAGGAAGCTGCTGAAGGAGGTCAAGAGCGTAGGCGCATACAGCCAGAGTCAGGGTGCGCCAGGCATCAGGCAGAGCGTTGCAGAGTACATTGAGCGTGCGTATCTCACTACACTAATACAGACATTAAACTGACGGAAACAGGTCGCGATGGCTACCCAGCAAAGTTCGAGGACATCTACCTCAGCAATGGCGCCTCATCAGGCGTGAACACCCTCCTCCACACCATCTGCGCGAAGCCCGAGACCGGTATCATGGTCCCAATCCCTCAGTACCCTCTCTACACCGCGACCCTTTCCGTCCTCGACGCCCGCTGCGTGCCATACTACCTCAACGAAGACCAAGCATGGGGTACATCACTCGACTCAATTGCGACTGCATACGAGAAGGCTATGAAGGAGGGCACCGATGTCAAGGCTATCTGCGTCATCAACCCCGGTAACCCCACTGGCGCGTCGCTGCCCGCCGAAGACATCAAGGCCGTGCTTAAGTTCGCCGCCGAGAAGGGTCTCGTCGTCGTCGCCGACGAGGTCTACCAGACCAATGTCTTCATCGGCGAGTTCATCTCCTTCAAGAAGGCTCTACGCGACCTGCAGAAGGAGTCACCCGGCCAGTACGACCACCTCGAGCTGGCTTCTCTGCACTCAATTTCCAAGGGCATGGTCGGCGAGTGTGGTCATCGAGGTGGCTACTTTGAGCTTATCGGCTTTGACCCAGAGGTCGCGCAGGAGGTCTACAAGTTCATCTCTATTCAACTGTGTCCGCCAGTGCTGGGCCAGTGTATTGTGGAGATGATGGTCAACCCACCAAAGGAGGGCGAGCCAAGCTACGAGCTCTACAAGGAGGAGTACGACGGTATCTTCAACGGACTGAAGAAGCGCGCGTACGCTTTGTACGAGGCGTTCAAGCAGATGGAGGGCGTCGAGTGCAACGAGCCACAGGTACGTTTTCCATGCCAACTACACATCACATAGCTAACATTAATATCAGGGCTCCATGTACCTCTTCCCCACCATCCACCTCCCAGAAAAGGCCGTACAACAAGCCAAGAAGGAAGGTCGCGCGCCCGACGAGTTCTACTGCTTCCGCATGCTCGACGCCACAGGTGTTTGTGTTGTTGCTGGTACAGGCTTCGGACAGAAGGAAGGCACACTGCATTTCAGGACCACCTTCCTTGCTCCTGGAACCGATTGGACAGGGCGTATTGTCAAATTCCACGAGGGGTTTATGAAGGAGTTCAAGTAGATCTTATAGTCGATAAGAGATTGGATGCGGATAGAAGACTGTAGTATGAAATACGGTATGGACTAAATAGATCTGACGAATAACACTACGACTCTCGTCAGTATTCAATCTCTACCATGCCTTGACCTGTGTAATTGCCGAAGTACGTAGTAATGGTGGGGGCGGGGTAAAGAGGACTGATATATCCGAAGACGATCGCGACATCGCCAACTGCCGTGCATTGTACCTGAATGGACCCTGGTCTTGGCTTATGCCGAATGACATGGGATATATCCATAGCTCCACGCCAGTGCTCATCGTTATGTATATCACGTGCGTTGTTACTCTGCATGTTTCTGGTTTTACCTGTCTACAACCCTAGCTATTCTCCTGAAATCCATCCTCATGTTATTTATCGCAAACTTCATCTCGCATACCTAACATCATCATCGTCATTATCGAAGTCGTCATCACCACCAAATGAGCACCAACACCACAATGTACACTCAAAACCAATCTCCCTCTAACACGCAGCTCTCACCCCTCGAATCCCTCCCCGACGAGCTCCTCGACCTAATCCTTTCCTACCTTCCCTCCAGAACCACCCTCCACACCCTCACCCTCGTCTCGCGGCACCTAAACCGCCTCGCAACCGCCCACCTCTACACGCACATCACGCTCTACGGCGCCGACTTCAAGTACCTGCGTCCGCTCGCTCTCCTCTTCTGGACATCTCCGGCCCATCGCCAGCTAGTCCGTTCTTTTTCCGTGGTTCATGCGTATGGCGGGAATTTGGATCCGTGGCCGAAATGTGAGGGGCTGGATTTGGATGCGGTGATTAGAGGGAATGTGGAGTGCTTTGTTAGGAAGAGTGATTGGGGGGTTTGGGTTGAGGAGGTGAGTGGTGTTTTTGTATGGATTCTGTGTGCGAGGGTTGCTGACTGAGTATATCTATGTTTTAGGTTAGGGATGGGAGTGATTCGACGCGCATTGCCAGTCTGTTGTTGAGAAGCTGTCCGAATCTGAAGAGGATGCAGTTGCCAGGGTTTGAGTTGGTGGACCCGTGTGGCAGGTGAGAGCTGGGACTGCGCACCTGCATAGTCGATGCCATGCGTCGCAAATGCGTCGCTGTGGCGTTCAAGGCTGGGTGATGTACTGTGTACGTCAGCAGAACACGCGCATCTCCTAAGAGAACAGAACGCCATGCCGAATTGAGGCGTTCGAAGAGTTTGGGACTGCAGAGACAGTCAGTATCTCCCGCGGACTATGCACCGAGGCACACCGGGACGCAGCCCTTCATTCCAAGGTGCATGATCCACGCCTCCAGCCTTCAGATATGCAAGACCAGCACGGAACAGTTCTTCGAAACGGTTCAGGCCAAGTTATGGGTGTGGCTGGAGATCAGCAATCACTCACCACTGGATCACACGCGGCATGAGCCCACCCTCTCTGGCTACGCATCCGTAATGGTCGAAGTTGACAACAACAAACTTTCGTCAACAAGAAGGTGCCGCTAAGTTGCGCGTTCCTGCAGCATAAATATGTCAGGGTCGCCGCCTCGCATACGAGCTCATTCGCCCTCGCCGTTTGGGCGAGATGTAAAGAGGGTCTTCTACCGCGGTACCGCATCCTCATCATGCGCGAACACGACAACACATTCGTAATGCAACATACTATCAGAGATGCTTCGTTTATCTAGTGGGTAGTATGGATACGTTGAGCCTGTTGACGGACAAGAGAGGTATATAACATGGTCAGCGCCACGGTGTGAGCTGAGCTGTGTACATATCTGGAAACTACGTGGACTCGCTACCACAATCGCAAGGTGGAAGAGTTATTTTTCTTTGTTGAGAGAATTTTTTACTAAACAGGGTCTCCTTTAACATATCGCTATTCTCACTCTTCAGTCCTTTCCAAGAGCACCGGAGGAACGTTCGCTCTTCTTCGAAGGTGTCTTCATCCGACTCTACAATGGGTACGACACCACCTACACCGGAGCGCAAAGTCGACTTCGTCATTGAGGAACAGGACTTGGGAAGTGTACCACTCACTCAGCCCCAAGTCTTCAACAATACCCTCTCTCGCCGCCTCAGTCGCCCTACGCTTCCTCCTTCGCTCCCCTCTCAGACACCCTCCGCCAAATGGAAGCGATCGGAGGGCTTTTGGCGTTCATTCGTTGCTATATGCATCCCATTACTTCTCTCCGCTCTCGAGGGAAGTGTAACCAACACCGCCCTCCCTACCATCTCGGAGGCCTTGGATCTCGGCACCAAATTCTCTTGGGTTGCGACCGCGTTCCTCCTTGCGAGCACCATCTTCCAGCCCCTATACTCTCAGTTCGGAGACATGTGGGGAAGGAAAACTCCTATGATGACTGCTGTTGCCGTCTTCGCGGTGGGCTCAGCTATTTGCGGTGGCGCTCAGAGCGGCGCAGTGCTTATTGCTGGACGCATTGTTCAGGGCCTAGGAACCGGTGGCATTGACCTTTTTGCAGAGATGATTCTCTGCGATATCGTGCCATTGAGAAAGAGAGGTCCGTACTTGGCGATCAAGCACGTTGCTTTCGCCGCTGGCACCACACTCGGTCCACTCCTCGGGGGAGTCTTCGCTGAACACGGCTGGCGATGGTGCTTTATTATCAACATACCCGTCTGCGCTATCTCCCTGGTCGTCATCTGGCGCTGGCTAAATGTCGGTGGAAGTAACACTACCCCAGAAACAACCCTCCGGCAAGAACTGAAAAAGGTCGATTACGTCGGAAGCGGCATGCTCACTGGTTCCGTTCTGATGCTTCTTGTCTCCCTCAGCACAGGCGGCGCACCAAAGCCCTGGTCTCACTTCTCTGTCGTCATACCCATGGTCTTCGGTATCCTGGGTCTCATCGGCTTCGGTTTCTGGGAACGCTGCTCCTACTGCAAATACCCCATCATGCCACCGCACGTCTTCTCGAACCGCACGACAAACATCGCTTTCGCATTAACAACTATGCACGGCTTCATAACTTACGGTTTCCAATTCTACCTCCCGCCTTTCTTCCAAGCAGTCAAGGGCTCCTCGCCCACACAGTCGGGTCTAGAAGTCATGCCCACGACCCTCGTTATCGTTGTCCTAGCCGCAGTCGGCGGGCCCTTACTCAGCTACTGGGGCAAATACAAACCCATGCACATCATCGGCTTCGCTTTGACGACCCTCGGCCTAGGCCTCTGCACACTACTCAACGCCAAGTCCTCAATTGGCGTCTGGCTCTCCCTCCAGCTCATCACCGCAGCTGGTCTCGGCATAGTCATCAGCACCATGCTCCCCGCCGTACAAGTCAAGCTCCCCGAATCTACAACGGGCGCAAGCGCAGGCTCCTGGGCCTTCCTCCGCGGCACGGGCTCTCTCTTTGGTGTCGCCATCCCCGGTGCCATCTTCAACGTCCGTTTCGCATCTCTCCTTCCTACCATCTCCTCCGCAACTGCTCGCGCCAAACTGGAAAATGGTCAGGCGTATCAACGTGCTACTGCATCTTTCATCGCCACGCAAGCCACGTCATCCACCATCAAAGCCGAGATCATCAATGCGTTTACCCAGAGTCTCAAGTGCGTGTGGATTGTTTTTGCAGTTCTAGCGGGAATCGGGTTTTGTCTTACGTGGGGTGAGAAGGAGTACAAGATGCGGAAGGAACTTAATACTGTGTATGGGCTCAAAGCGAAGAAGACGGGAGGCAGTGCGTGTACGACGCCGGGGGCTGTGGACTCGGGGGTTGCTACACCGGTTAATGTGGATAGTAGTGATGACGAGGTGAACAAGACGAACGGGGAGGATGATGGGTGTGCGGTTGAGATGGATGAGGATGATGTTGAGTTGGGGGAAATTAGGAGGAGAAGCGGTGAGGTGTGATGGGCATGCGGGCAGGGCAGGGCAGATATCCTGCTTGTAATCATAGTGGAATTGAGAAGATCTTTTCATTCAGACTTTGAGCTGCGCGTTCTGGTTGGTACAAGTGGGCGCCAAACATTCTGCTTAAGACTCCACGTAACCGATGCTAAATGCAGCGTACCTAGTGCATATCTACTCTAAACCTCCTACGAACATGTCTCTACCCGAACAACAACCTCCTACCTCCTTATCCGCGACTTCACTCCCTCTATCACGGCCACATCCCGCCGCCCCTTATGCTTCCCATCCTCCGTTTCGCCTCTCCAAACCTCCTCCTCGCCTCCTCAAACACTCTCTGCGCCTCAATCACCTCCATCCTCCTCACGTTAAACTCATGCGTTGCTCTCTGCGCTGCCTGGACACGAGGATCTATCCTCGGCGCTGGATATGTATCGCGCATGTATGATTCAAAGAGAGTGCCGCTGGCCTCATCGTTGCCGGTGATTTTGTCGCTACCGTAACTGTTATCCGCAATGTTTAGGAGATCTGATTTTGGGGGTTCGTAAGTGTTCTGTCGTACCGGACAAGGCGTATCCGGATCTCCTCCAAATTCCCGAGCTAGGCTATTGAACAGGGGCGTGAAAGACGAGAACGGTGGAACGATGCCAGGCGACGTAGCAGTAGGCGTGGGGATCTCAGCAATGACAATCGGAGGGGGTCGGGAGCGGCGCTGCGTCTGGGGTGTGGTGGTCGTCGAAGGAAGTGTTGCCGTTATCGTTGCTTGGGAATCCGGGGGCGTGGGTATATCGTCGAAGTTGATGCAAATTGGCGTGCTAGGCTCGTTGTTGTTGTTGTTGTTGGTAGTGTTGTTGTCTTCGGAGATGACACAGAGTTCTTCTTTCAGTCGTTTCGCTAATCTTTGTGCGTCTTCGTCTTCTTCATCCGCAGTAACGGCATTCATCTCCTGTCTAATCGAGTATTTCCTCTTCCTCGTTTCATCTTCTTTGATTGGAACGGGCCCTTGCATTTCGCGGCCTCGGCTCATTCTTCGTAAACTCTCACATGCCTTTTTGACATCACTGATTTCCAAGATGGCGAAGATCCTTTGGGATTTTCCGCTGTATGAGCCTTCGCGAATGCGCGCTTGGAAGTAGGTGTTTAGGAGGTTGTGCGCTCGGTCTCGTTGGCCGATTGTTAGTGTCGAGAGTTCGTGAATGGCTTGGATAATTGGGGCCGGGAGGCAGTTGATTGGGACGCCGGCGAGGAGTGAGGGTGGAAGGATGGGTTCTTCTGAGGTCGCGGGGTGGATGAACCAGTTTTGTTGGATGGCTTGGATGTGGTTTATGATGTCTATCTGGCATGCTGCACTGTTGGAATTTGATGTGTTGGACATGTTTGTCATTCCCATATTGCTTATCGTGTGTTGTGCTCTTGGTTGATGGAAGATACTGGAATGCGGGTGCAGTTTGTGACACAATGTCACGATCATAAGATGTGCCTCGACGCTGATTCATAGCTAGAAGTGCTACAACAAAGAGTCGGTGGCTACAAAGGTCATGGGTTGAGTCCCGGCTTTGTCCGTGATCGAGTCCGAAAACTCGTGTCTGGTGGCGCTTTGTCCAGTGGCTCTAGAACAGTGTCGCAGACCGCACTTGACGTAACGGAGGCTGTGCGAGAGGCGAACTTCATAGTATAGAAGTCATGAGGCGTGTTTCAGCTTGAGGTCGAAACATTATCAGCGGATGGGCTCGTATCTTGGAGCGCTGGTGCGGTCGGCATAGACAGGAGATAAACATACATCAGAGTAGGAGCCTAAAGTAGAACAGATGACGACCCAGTATAAAGTATACGCATTAGTCGAAGAGACCCAGAAAAATCAAGATAAAATCATTGTCGACCCATTACCTACACTTCATGATGACCACCAAACGTCAACCTCTCCAACGTAGCCTCCCGCCTACCGATTCCCCCTCAGTATATCTCCAATCTGACTAAACGGATTCCTTAAACCCCGCGCACCCCCTCCCCTCCCAGCCGTCGTACCCATCGTCTTCGGTGGATCGTGTTTGTAGCCACAAGAGGGATTCGTGCACCCATTTGGCGAAGTCTGTTGCCACCTGCAAAGGGTCTCCGACTGAAGTAGCTTTGAGTGTTTTTCGTTCCTGCGCGCTCCAGATGCATTGATTATATCCTCTAGCGACTGTTCGATGCGAATGGTAGGAGGCTGGTGTTGGGGTTGATCGTTCTTTGTTATCCTGTCGGCGAGTGAACGGTTTCCTCGAGGACCAGTTGGTGGGGTATGGTAACCAAATGGCGTTTGGCTATCAAAAGAGGTGGGCTGTTCACCCCTTGTTATACGCTCAGCAAGTGTCGGTTTGCGCACTACTGGCGCTGGTGATGTAGCTTGGGCGAACAGGTTCTTGCTGTTGCTGTTGTGAAAGCCAAAAGTCTGGTCTTGCTGCTTAGGTTGCAAGGTAGATCGCCCATCTCCCTTCATCTGCCCACCGAAAGGATTTGAACCACCCGGCAGGTGACTGGAAAAGGGATTCGTTTGGGAAAAGTTGCTGGATCGTGGTGCAGGGACAGGATCGATAACCATTTGGTCAGCCCGTGGAAACTGCTTTGACTGGCCTTTTGATGCCGCTTCTGTGAGGAAGAAAGGATCGTGGCTGTGTTTACATCTCCCACCGAATCTGCAACTACCGCTCAACCAGAATTTGCATGCGGTGTGGGGTACTTTGCAACTCCTGCCTAATGTGCAGGTCCCGTTCTTGTATGCTGGGCAAGCCGCCGTGAAGTTACCGTCGCCGGCTGACATTCCAAATGGATGTGAGGGAGCGCCATTGGTAACACGTGTATTGAAGGGGTTTGACTGGCCCACACCGCGTGTAATTGACGTGGAGAAATCGACCGGACCAAAGCCCGGGTGTTGCTGCGAGCTATCGAATCCTCGAGAGTCCGTCATTTGAACGTCGTCGTCTTTCGGCGTAGGATGTTGTGATACCTGGCCGAATGAACCTGGCTGACCATATGACCCAACGTTCACAGAGCTTCCGAAGGAAGTGCCTAGAGAGCTCTGTGGCTGGTAGAAGCTACTGTTGGCAGTCTGATTACTACTGAAAGAAGAGTTCATTGAAGTGCCGCTCTTTCCTGCAGTAGCTGGAAGCGACAATGTCGAAGTGGCTTCGGGCTTCTTTTGGGCTCCCTGCCTCGCATACAAGTTGGCTAGGTCGGTCTTGAGTCTGTTGATCTCAGTCGTTTGTTGCGAAATCTGGTCCTGGTACGATTTCTCGCGTTGAGCCGTTGCTGCAGCTTTTGCGGCCTTCTTCACACTCTCTTGAGCGCGTTCCTTCGCGGCGGTCATCTCAAGCGACTTGATCTGTTGCTTTAGCTGCTCTCGTTCCGCTTGGGCTCGTTGGACTTCTTCAAGACGTTGCTTCTCTTGCTGACGGGCCCGTTCCTCCTTCTGCAGACGTAGGGCTTCGGCCTTTTGCGCTCGGTATTCTGCCATCTGCTGTGCGTCGGGGCCGATGCTGGTCCTCGCAATCTTGTCCTCGGTTGCTTTCCGCAACGTCTCCATCGTCTCGTCGATCGACCCGGTTGGGAAGATAAAGCTCGCAGGTGGCGGGCTGAGCCAGCCTTCCATTTCTTCAATGTTGGTGACCAAATCGCCGAGGAGGTGGTGCGACCGTGAGTACTTTATCAGGTCGCGGAGGGCTCGGAGCCGGTATATTGGCAGCGATATGTAAGGCATGACGTTGCGCCATTGCTCTCCTTTGGCGAGAGTATAGTGTAGGCCGTTGAGACACTCGCGTACTTCGACGATGGATTGTGCGTTGACCTTGAAGCCATTTCCCATGACTCTGTCGATGACTATCATGTCATTTCGCACAGTCTCGTAGTGCTTCGCAAAGTCCTTCACAAGCGCGCCCTTCTTTTCGTTCTTTTGAGGGATGAGAGTTGTCAGACGAGGGATGACATGACGAGCCGCTGCATTCTGCTTGATGGTTCCTTTCAACGCGGCGTGGCTGAACAACTCGACAAGATCCTCTCGCCAGTCGTTCGCAACGTCGGCAGTATACTGCGAATAGCCGGCGATGTGTAAGCGCGCCTTGTACGCGCTGAAGCACATCTCAGCCATATACTTGGCGTTGTACTCCTTTTCGTTGGGGCGACTCCTCTTCGAACGCGCTGCGATGGGAGTCGCATTGGGTTCAGGCTAGACGTCTGCGTTAGTTCAGAAGGAAGAGATCTGAAGATAAGTGGCTCACCAATTCTGACTGGCTGTTCGCAGTAGCTCGCTTCCTCTTTCCACCAGCCAGAGGAACTGCGTATGTTTGGTAGCCAGGGCCGTTGGCGGCCGAGGAGTGAGCCATTGCGCTTGGTGATTAGGAAGAGCTCGATGGAGTTGCTGTCGTTATCTTGTGGCTAGTAAGCGTGTTTTCAAAACGAAAGTAGGACTTGGACAGCGAATTTGTCAAGTGGATGTCGGATCAAGTTTGTGTAGTCAAGCAGGGGTTGAGTACGGGCTATTGTACACGCCACTAAGCCCGAATCAGGTATCGAGTGGGTATTACGAATAGAGCGTGGTCGTGAAGGGGAAGAACGATAGCTATGGGTCCGTGCGAAGTGAATGTGTGTTGGACAAAGACGTGGCTTGAAAGACCAGCACAAGGGCGACTAGGAGTAGATGGTGAATGAGAGGCGTCACGATGGTTCATATTCGTTCTGGTTTGCGCATACAGTAGCTCTTCAGCTGTGGTGGTAACAGGTGAAGAATAAGAATCTAGTGATTATCGAGGTACAGTCCAGTCTTCAGTGCTGGGGCACAGGGAGAGAATCTAAGAAGGGTACCTGAGCTAGAAAACATACTCGATGTAGGGACGTAGAGAACTTGACTTTGAAATGGGAGACGCATGAGGGAAACAAGATAGGACGACTGTTTTGATAGCAAACCGCAAAGGGGATAGCTTGCTCAGGCTTCCCCATGGGCCACAGACCAGACCTATGAATGCTGTATGGCATGGTGGCTGTAACGATGCTGTCGCGACTACTCCACACTGGTTGATGTCCAGGGTCGTTCCTTCCTGGGATTTCTCATGCCGAATGTTTGTTTCACTTAGGCCTGGCGTTCTTGAAGGCCATATGTGAACTATGTGAAGAAGGAAAAAGGAAATACGAACAAGGTTCAGGTGTTGCTGGCTCGGCGATGGCCGCCCTAGCGCAAATGTTGGGCAGGCACGGGATGCGGAGAGCAGATCGCGACGGGGAAGAGCGACCGAGGCAGGGTCGTCCCTCACCCGTCGATGTTTGGCCTCTCCAACATTGGAAGGCATCGCGACCATGCGCAATCCCGTGGCGTGTGTGTCCTGCAGGTCCGCGAAACAGAAGTGCATCCACGAAGACCGGCCGCCGTGCGACAGGTGCAAGCAGTGTGGGCGCGCCGATCGGTGCGAGTTCCCAGGTGCGTCGAAGCTCCTGCCGTCCCCTATAGTGCGCGTGTTGACAGACAATAGCGCCAGGAACCAGCGCGATACACCGCAAGCCCAAGCGACCACGGCCCTCTGAAGATGCAGGAGACACGCCGACACCAGCCAACTCGAGTACGACGGTTGTAGCGCCCCATCAGGGCCGCCATGACGCACATCTGCCGACCGGCACCCAGCCGGCACAGCACGCGTCGCCGAATGCGGCATCCGCGCTGCTCGACGGCCTCGATCCCTTTGAGCTGCTGACGGACGAGGTCAAGAACAGCTACCTCAGATGCAGCTACAAATGGAGTTTCCACCACACGCCGACGCTGCTGCGCCGGATCCGCGACCGCACCCTCGAGCCATGGATGGCCTGGGCGATCCTGGCACTGGCCATCAGGTATGCGCGCACCCAGAATGCAGGCAGTCACATATCTAACATGACGTAGATTCGTCAAGGAGCCGCCCTCGCCCTTCCGCTCGCAGACTGAGGCCAGCAATGCCTATGCCGCCCACGCCCGCCAGATCCTGCAGCAGGACCTCGAGACGCCCTCGATAAGCCGCGTCCAAGCCCTGTTGATGCTGACGGGCCACGACTGGGGCGCCGGCAATGGAAGGCGGGCGTGGATATATCTGGGCATGGCCATACGGCTCGTCGAAGTCATGGACCTGACGCGCGAGACCGGCATACCGCGAAACCGCGTGCCGACGCGCGAGGAGTTCATCGAGGCTGAAGTGCGCCGCCGGACTGCCTGGACCTGCTTCCTCATGGACTCGCTGCTCAGTGGCGGCAAGGGGCGCAAGCGATCGTTGACGGCCGCCGACATGAAGATTCAGCTGCCCTGCGAGCGCGAGGACTTTGTCTTCGGGGAGCCTGTATGCACACCGCAGCTAGACAACACACAGCGCATGCCGCCAGTAGCCCTGCCAGTAGGAGAGATTGGCATCATCGGATACAGTATGCGCGCTGCCAACATCTGGGGCAAGGTCGCGCGCTGGGCGTGCTCTGAAGACCTCAAGAGCGAACTGCCATGGGCCTCCTCGTCGCAGTTCCAGCAGCTCATATACGAACTCGAAGGCTGGAAGGCCTCGCTCCCACAGCGCCTGCAGTACGACCTCTTCACCCTCCACAGCCACAATGCCGTCGAGCAAGGCCAAGCGTATTGCTATATGCACTGCATACACTTCATGAGCTACATGTTCCTGCATCGCGCCTACCTGCCCGTTCTGGGACCGCAACAGAACGGGGCGAACCCTGAAGAGACGCCCAACTCCTACGACGAACACCGTGACATGTGGAAGAAGTGGGAGAAGACTTCACGCAAGGAGCTGTTCAAAGACTCCGTCATGGTCCTAGACATGCTCGAGGAGATGCGCACTTTCGGCGTCTACTTCCTGCGAGGCCTAGTGCCGTGGATCGGCTTCACCATCTACACTGCAGTCGGCGCAATGTTGTACAGTTTCAACTTCCCGAGTGGTGATGATGACCCTCGCTGGCGGGAGAAGGCGCGTAAGAGCGTCATCCAGGGCTGCAACTTCCTGAAGGAGATGAAGACGCAATGGCCCATGGCAGAGACCTGGGTGAGTAACTCAAGAGATCTAGAAAACACACGCTGACAGCCCCAGTATGATACCATCAGGCGCATGCAGGCATACTACCGCTCAATACTTGGCCAGGACGGCCCGGCATCACCCGAAGAACGACGAGCCTTGCGACATGCTATGATCGACTACGGCGCGTTGCAGCCCTCGCCTGTACAAAAGCCAGCTGATGCTCGAGACATCGCTTCCAGCAGGTCCCCTTCACAACAGCACAACGACCAGCGCAAACCCATGATCGCCAACCTCACCAACCCACCCGTTAGAAGCCCTTTGCCCGCTACAAGCCCCATGCCTGCCGCAGCGCCCACACCCAACAGCTACTCATCAAACTTCTCGTGGAACACGCCTCCAGCGGTGCCCCCGTTGGAAGCCGACGAGACCTTCAACCTTGACTCGTTCGAATCATTCGCCTTGACGAATGAAGAGTTAGAGGCTATGATGATCAATGCGACACAGGAATTCTGGGCTAGCTTCCCGGGCGAAGTGGGTGTGGGATATTAGGGAAACGTGGTTCGGATTGCTACGATCTGGCGTTAATGGAAGGGACAAAACGGGCGGTCTCGTATGTTACATGTAATAATAGTAATTTATTTTCCAAGCAAGCGTCGTCGGCAGCTTCGTCTAATGTATACTTGAGATGTGCATTCCCGCTACGCCCCATGATGCAATTTGACTCTCACCTTCCATCACCTCGCAACTGCGAAGATCGCCACTTCACATTCAAGCCCACCCAAAAGCTTAGAACAAAAGCTAACCACCTATCGCAGATGCCCACAAGGCGGGTACCTGAACACTCCCTCGTTTCATCACACAGATGCCGTAGGTGCAGGGCGAAGCCGGATAAGTCGGCACACAGGCGGCTTGTTTTGTAGAATGATGGGCACACACCGAACTGGGGTGGAGCGCGATCCACAAGCTTAAGTTGACTACCTCTGGCAACTTCCTGACGCGTTCTCTTGCACTTTATCTCCTCTGTCGATTTCCAACGATGTTATCTTACGCCCTGAATTGGATGTCGTTGCGGCAACCGGTGTCTTTCGGTCCTTCTCTGGTAAGGAAGAGGAGCTTGCCCATTTGGACTAGCGCGATTTGAATGAAAGAGAAGGGACAAGGGATTTCGACTTTCGATGCGTCACGCTTCCGACGCAATGCATTGGAGATCGCACGCATTCACATTCTCTTTGAGGGCCCTCGATCTTAAGAAAAGAAGGCACCAATCTGTCTGCAACTATTGGCTAGCTGTGGATGATGGCGACTGTAGCGGAACTAATCTGGTCTCCGAAACCACCCGTGGTGTCCTGATCACCACGCAGGCATTGGCAGGATCCCACACCAGCGGCGATATGATTTACATCGCCGCGCAACGCTGGGTACCGCTGCGTTATCTGATGTACACATCCCAAGAGACCGGACTTGTGTAGCCTGATGGCAAACACAGCCCCTCAGCATCATCTATGCAGATAGTGAGTCCATCATGGAGGTACTTCCTCATAGCGGTTGGCGGGCCAAGAGTTCGCCTCTGTTGGTAAACGGATCCTAGTGTACGCATGATACCACCGAGCCGGACTCTGATTGAGTTGACCCGCAAGTCACAAACTGGTCCAAGAGATGCCATGCGAGGTCCCCTTTGTCCGGTTTGCACTTCAACATCCAATATATCGTCTGACCTACAACAAGGCTACAGTTCGCTTCAAGAGCTTGACACAGGAAGTCGCCGACAACTCCAACTACATGCAGGTCACTAACTTTGTACGGCGGTTTCCGCATCTCATACATCAAAGCGCAACACCCTCCTGATGCCATCCAAGTGCATCCGCAACACTCTTCGACACCATGTGTTATCATACAGACACACTGTTGGTCAGAACAGCAACCTCGGCGCTCGCGAAGGATGGGCTCGAAAATCGCGCAGGAGCTACTTCCGCTAGACGATATTCCGGAGATGGCAGACCTCACGATGTCAGTCGCGTAGCCATGGGCGTTAATCTCTCGGCTTGCATGCTGGAAACGCCAAGGAGAATCTGTTGCAAATTCTTAGGCGTGCCCGTCAGCTTTCGGACACTGTTCTGGAAGGTGAATTAATGCATGAGCAAATAAGATGCGTGGGAAAGATGCCAGGACCCAGGGCCGTGGGAGGGCCTGGTTCAGCTGGTAGATGGATGTCGACGTCTGACGACCGTTGATGTTACCCACGTTTTGACGTGCGATGCTCCCATTGGCTGACCTTTCTACACGAGACCACTCCACGCCCGAACGCTACGAGCTTTGCCAAGATGCGGCCAAGAGACATGGCTGTCAAAGTTATCGGCTTGGTAGCTTCAATGAGAGGTTGCGAACTGAAAGCGCTAAGCTCCGCCATCATTCACCAGAGTTGCTTGACTGCGCTAGTGGGGAGATCTTGACGGCCTTGGCAAAGAATCCGCCATCCTTCTACGCCCTGCCCAATCACAACTTCGGTTCGAGCACACGTTCTCTTGGCGAATGCTCTCACGTTGCGGCCTGTGAGTGGTGGCTGCATAGTAGCTGGACATGCAGGGCGTCGGATGTCACCCATCAGTCTGGAATCAATCGAAGGGATTGACGCCGTAAGCCAATACGGGCCTTCTCCGCCGCAAAGAGCGACCTGAAGCGTCTCTTTCAATATATATACATGTCTTACAGAGGGCCCTCCCTTACTTTCGGCATCCCAGCTCCAACTTCAAACAGCCTTCTTTGTCATTGAGCGACTTGTACTGCTCAAGGATCAGTCATCATGGCGCGTCTTACACAGTACAACTATGTCTTCGCCATTGGCACTTTTTTTGCCATGCTCGATGCATACAACAACGGTGCCAGTACGTGCAGATTACTGTCACTCCATCATGCTCCAGACTAACACTGTACAGACGATGTTGCCAACGCATGGGCTACCTCTGTTTCTTCCCGTTCGGTCTCCTACCGCCAGGCCATGATCCTGGGTACCATCTTCGAGATGGTTGGTGCCATCACCGTTGGTGCTCGTACCGCTGAGACGATCAAGAATGGCATTATCCCTCCCAATGCTTTCAAGGACGATGCCGGTGTTCAGATGCTCGCATTCACTTGTGCTCTCGCTGGTGCCTCTATGTGGGTTATGGTAAGTGTCACTGTACTAATCGCATTTGCAACATACACTGACTCCGTATATAGTGGTGTACCAAGCACTCCGCTCACGTCTCATCGTCTTACTCGCTCATCTCTTCCGTCGCTGGTGTTGGTGTCGCCGTTGCTGGCGCTGCTAACGTACAATGGGGTTGGAACAAGGGCAAGGGTCTTGGTGCCATCTTCGCAGGTCTCGGAATGGCACCTGCCGCTTCTGCCTGCTTCGGTGCCATCATCTTCATGCTGATCAAGATGACCGTCCACGTCCGCAAGAACCCCATTCCGTGGGCCATCTGGACTGCGCCTTTCTTCTTCCTCGTTGCTGGAACCATTTGCACGCTTTCCATCGTCTACAAAGGATCGCCCAACCTCGGTCTCAACAAGAAGCCAGCGTGGTATGTCGCAACCGTCACCATGTCTTGCGGTGTCGGTCTAGCCTTCCTATCCTTCCTCTTCTTCGTCCCTTACCTACACGCCAAGGTCGTGAAGCGCGACCACACCGTCCGCTGGTACCACGTCTTCCAAGGCCCTCTTCTCTTCAAGCGCCCTGTCCCGGATGGCGCCGAGGCTGCCGTTGTTCCCGACTACGCCGTCGTCCAGGAGGACGAAGAGATGAAGAAGCCCGAGCAGAACAACGACTCCGAAGAGGGCATCACCGTCCACGACCACGAGAAGATGGCCGTCTCCACCGACATCGCCGAGCACCAACAACCCAGCTACAAGGAACTCGTCGCCCAAGGCCAAGAGCGCTTTCACTCCAAGCTCCGCGCCAAGAAGGGACCTCTCGGCTGGGCCATGCGCTACCTCCACGAGAACAAGATCCAAACGGGCGAGATCTACGAAAAGAAGAACATGCTCATCACTCTGAAGCGCATCCCCGCCATGCTCGTCGTCGGCGCCCTCTACGGCGTAAACTACGACATTCACGCCGCGCAAACCGGTATCCACGGCACACCCGAAGGCCGCCGCATGGAGCGCGTCTACAGCCACGCAAAGAAGTACTCCAACGAAGTCGAGCACACCTACTCCTTCGTCCAAGTCCTCACCGCCTGCACCGCCTCCTTCGCCCACGGCGCCAACGACATCGGAAACGCCGTCGGCCCCTGGGCCGTCATCTACGGCGCGTGGAATACAGGAAAAGCCTCGCAGTCCAAAGCATCCGTGCCCGTCTGGCAACTCGCTGTCCTCTCTGCTACCCTCTCACTCGGTCTCGTTACTTACGGCTACAACATCATGAAGGTCATGGGTAACAAGATTACGTATCACTCGCCTAGCAGAGGTTGCAGCATGGAAATGGGTGCCGCGCTTACGGTGCTTATCTTCTCGCAGTACTCGCTTCCTGTTTCGACGTCCATGTGTATTACCGGTGCGACGGTTGGTGTGGGTCTTTGCAATGGCACGCTCAAGGCTGTTAACTGGCAGAGAGTGGGTCTGCTGGTGTTTTCTTGGATTATGACTATTCCCATTGCGGGGACTATTGGTGGTGTTTCTTGCGCGATTGTGCTTAACGCTCCTCACTTTGGTTAGATGGAGGTGTTGGAGCGGTAGAGAGATCTTGGGGTGTTTTCAGTCGTGTCTTGGAAAAGGATAGTAGATTGGGTTTTGTACCTGCTTGCGTTTTAGTAGCGACACCTTTGGGTGATTAGCATGCGAATCGTCTATTCATGTGCATATTTCGTCAACTTCCCTCGTGTTTCCATGTCTCAATTACCATTTTTGGAGAACTTGCTATAGACACACTGACCCCTTGGCTCGCTTCTACTGCCTTTGATACCCTTGCGTAATTTATAATCTACGATGCAGCATTTTCGACAAAGCAATCTGCCTTCACGGGTGCAGTAAGTCGCATGTCCTTATTCTCTACACCACCACGCCGCAACGCGTCGTCAAGACCAATGAACATAAATGACTTGGGAGAGTATTGAAGAAGTTCACTTTAGGCCATTTTAGTGAAGAACTAATGATGAAGGCAGAGCTCTGGTAATTTGAAGATCATCGCGCCAAGTACTTCCAACCCCGACAACAGTCTTCCTACTTATAGCAGATTCGAGATTCAAAAACTTTGGGATAATAAAAGAAGAATATACGCGGTATCTAACAGGCTGCGCGTCGTGCTGATAGTAGAGCACCTGATTTGATCCACCCAAACTGCCCTGCTCTTGCAACATAAGAAGAAAGAGTTGAGAAAGGAAAACATCTCGCTGAAAACCTGAAAGATGCAAAACGCATCCCAATCTGTAACAACACCCACTATCTTCGAAGCAAGAGGCATTCCAAGCTACTGACCACGTCCGTTTCCTCGGCCACCTGGTCTACCACCACGGCCTCCACGACCTCCACGGGGACGCCAGTAGCCACGCTGCCGGCCTGCATTGATGCGGTCAGCATCGGCTTGAGTCAGGCTGTAGCCTGCCTGATTGTAATTCCATGGTGGCTGTACTACTTGACCGGAAGGCTGCGCGGAGCCCCGACCCCGTCCTCATCCAGACGAGCGGCGGTTGGAAGAAGATCCTCGTCCTCGTCCACGTCCACGGGGAGCTGGTTGCGGTGGTGCTGGGGTCGGGTCTTGGACTAAGTTTAGGTTGCGCAACACGGCCGTGAGGGCCGACATATCGGGAGCTGGCGGGTCAGGCGACGTGGTCTGGGAAGCGCCAAATGGGGAGTAGGAGCTCGAGGCCTGTGGAGGGTTCGACGAGCTGGGGGCGCTGGGAACGGGTGGGTTTAGGACACGGTCCAGGACATCTTGAGTGACATTGTTAAAAGCCTGGAGGACAACCCTCTGGCCTGCAAGTGTTGTGCCATTGAGCTGCTCAACAGCCTGGTCGCGGCCCTCAGCTGTTTGCATCAAGACGATACCAGACAACATGCGATTTCCTCCGACTTCAGCACGATCGATACCTTCGGGGCGAAACGGGTGGAGAAACGCCATGACCACATCGTTATCGAGCTCGGGCGGGATGTCGGTCATGAAGAGTACTCGGTTTCGCGTATCTTCTCTATTATCGAGATCAGGAGAAGGGACGCGATGCGGAGGCAAAACGTCACCCAGATTTTGGAGAACTCGTGGGATCAGGTCAGCAAGAGCTAAACGCTTCTTCTCCGCCTGAGCTTTGGCCTGAGCTTCTAGTTCTTTCTCCTTTCGAGCTTTCTCTTCACGCTCCCGCACGACCTTTTCGTGTTCTTCTTGCAATGCTTGGCTCTCCTTTACTCTTGCTTCTCGTGCTTCTCAGAGCCGCACGGCTTCTTCTTCGCGTCGACGTGCTTCGTCTTCGCGAGTGATCCCGAGAGCTGGAAAGTCCGAATCGGTAAGCCCACGAGTACCGTAAGGCCGTCCAGGTAAGGCTGAATCAGGGCCAGAAAGTCCAGGGCGAACGAAACCGTCGTGATTGTCGTTAACTGTGGAGAGATTAGCAAAAAGAACGTAAAGAGCTTCTCAACATGGAACACTAACCTATGTAATTGCCAGAAGGAGCAGCTTCCACGCGCACACGATTGCCACGGATGTAGTCATTCGTCCACTTTACGGGATGAACATGCCCGAACATGACGTATATACTCGAATTCGCCCCTGTTCGTGGATGAGCTGCGCGAACCTGATCGAGGATCATATGGTGTTGGAAGAAATCGCGGATGTCGTCTTCAGTCGCGGCGCGTGGGACATTGTCTACACGATAGACTCGGTTACCGGCAGGTCGACTGTATCTAAACTCAACCATTTTTACAGAATACAGCCAGAGTTCTAAGTCTTTTAGGGATTGTTGATGAGAGGGCGGGGTATAGAGAAGGAGGAAAGAATGGGTCTAGGTTATATAGGTAGCGGGCAGGAAGAGAAGGAACAACTTCGGCGTGCGTGAACAGTGCGAGACAGACTTCGCGGAGTGGTTAATAAGTTCCACGGAAGGGCACGCGCGAAGGAGGAGAATGTTTGTATACAACAATTAGTGAAAGAGTCGCAACCAATTCATGATTGATCAGGCAGCGCGACCCGTGGGTTTTCATGACCAGTGATAATGAATGTCGAAGGGATGTTGCCATGACAAAGACTGCCCACTTTGGAAAGTCGTCAGTAGGATTTTCTTTTCTTGGCCTAGCCATGCGCCGTATACCTTATTACATTTGAGTTGTCGTGAAGAGATAGGATCACGGATGTAGATCCTAGCGACTGTGATCCGGGGGCGTCCACCAGCTACTCCACGATATGACAACCCACATATTGATGGCACTTCCTCTGGGTATTGCAGTATACATAATCGAGATGTCGATTTAACCAGATGATAGGACAGTCGCGAAGTGCAGTGAATTAGATGGTGACGCAACGAAAGAAGAAGCTACGTCAATCGGCATCTTCGGTATAGCGAGGAGGTTTTGCTGATATGAACGTGCTATTGCTGCGGTCGCGATCAAGACGGTTGCCCTACGAAGCGACATTGTGTGGTGCGACTTCAAGTCAGAGGACGCAGGGCGAAGTGAAATCTAGATGCTGAAGTCATCGGCTGGAAATGTGATTACGTCAACTCGGCCCGTGCGCCACCAGCGCCGCTTCTCGTGGTCCAAATCTCCAGACGCGCCGAGCACGCGTCAACGATTAACGCGCATCTTGTTCTCATCCGGAACTGCCTCGGATTCCATAGAGTAGGTATGCGCACGAAAACAACATTAATGACATCTCTACCTTGTACCCACTCCCCAAACTATGCCGGATGTCACCAAAGTCCTCCTAACCTAAGCAATTCCATAACGCCTATCCTAGCTCCCTGATATGTGCTTCCGAGTGAGTAGCAAAGGAAAGTACCCTCCATGACCATCACTACAAGCAGCATCTAGTTCTCTTTACTCAATAACAGCTTCTGTCCGACCTGCAGTCCACCATGCGCATCGGCGTCGCGCAGGAACTCGCCCACCAGAGGATTCATACCACTCTGAACCGCACCATCCACCCACTCGCCTATGGGCAACGATCCCAGCCCACTACCCGCCTCGCCGCTCAACAGCTCCCGAATACTCTGCACGGGGATGATCTGGTCACCTGCGTGGTGCAGATACTCGACTAGTGAGTCGTTGTCAGCACCTGTAGTCGCCTGCAAGACCGAACGAGCGATGCCCTCAGTGACGTTCTCGAGAGAGACAAGATCTACATAGCCTGTCCAACGGCTCAAGTCGGGCAGCGCCTTGATCAGGGACCCATATTCGAGGAGGTTGGACATGATGTCCTCAGCTGCATCGTCGCCCATGATGGCTGAGGGCCGGTGGATGAACACCGGTAGGCCGATCTGCTGGCTGACCTTTTCCAGGAAAACCTCGCTGACCCACTTGGAAGCCGCATAGCCGTTAGCTAGCCCTGCGCCACCGTCTGGATGAGGTGGGAAGCGGGCGAGCGACTCTGGAGCCAGTGTCTCGGACTTGTTGAACTTGCCTGCCGTGGCAGTCGAGACGAAATGGAGCGGAATACGGCGAGTAGATGCGAGCCGCACGAGTTCCTTTGTAGAGGAAACATTGGCGCTCCTGAGAGACTGGTATGTCTTGAGGAATGACACGTCTGCACCGTTGTGGATGATGGCGTCTGCTGAGGCTGAAATCGACTTGGCCTCCGCTTCCGTTAGTCCGCAGCGCGGAAGAGAAAGATCACCCTTGTGAAGTACGACCTTGGAGCAGCTTGCAAACTCGGCCAACTTGCTGATGTCGCGAATCGCAATGCAATGTATCTTGCCAACATCGGGGGCCTGGACTAGCAGTCGAAGCAGAGAGCTGCCCAGGAGGCCTGTCGCGCCGCTGATTACCACAGTCATGGAAGACGTGTGGTTCTGCACTGCTACTCCCGGAGCTTGGTGTGTGCTTCCTTCCAGAAGGTAGCTGGGGATCGCGGTTTCAGCCTCCCAGTCGATCGGCTTGTCAGCATCTGAAGATACATCCTGCATCATAGTTGCCATGGCGCCCAGTGTGCTGTTCTCAAACAGCTTCAATAGGGGCAGGCTGGCCTTGAAAGTCTTGTTGATGAGCTGCCGCAGCTCGATGAGCAGCATGGAGTTGCCACCAACGTGGAAAAAGTCAGAACTGGCGTCGATACGATGCACCTCCTGCATCTGCTCCGGCAGTGTGTCTAGCCAGACCTGGACCAGCTTGGATTCCATCTCTGTCAGCTCCTCTGTCGATCCTGATCCCCGCACAGTGCTTGGGATGGCGAGTCCTCGGAGAGCTCTTCTGTCCACTTTGCCAGCTGCATTTAGTGGCATCGAGGAAACGGCGATAATGGCCGCGGGTCGCATATACTGCGGCAGGTCCAGCGAGGCGGCGAGGTTGCCGAGGAATTGGATCTCGCTCTCCATCGACGTGTCTGAAGGCGACAGCACCGCATGTGCAATCAACAGGGCAGGGTCACCCCGAGGCGTAACTGCCACCATCTTTACACGTCCGTTGGCCGCGTCCAGTATGGACTGTTCGATATCTTGCAATTCGATACGCAGGCCTCTGAGTTTGATCTGCGTGTCTCCATCGATGCGACCGATGATTTCCAAGGAACCATCTGATCTGAGGACGCCCTTATCTCCAGTTCGGTACATTCTAGTCCACCCGTTCTGTGTAGCCACCGAAGTTGGCATAGGGTCGTGCAGGAACTTGCTTTGCGACTCATCGCTACTGTTGATGTATCCCATGGCTACGCCTGCGCCCGCGATGCAGACTTCTCCGGACCAACCGATTGGCAAGACGCTCAAATCTTGATCCACGATGTAGACACCGTAGTTTGGAAGGGTCCTACCAGCTGGAACAAGGCCATCATGGTGGTTTAGCAAGCTGAGATCCAGCTCGCTTGACGACATGGCGCATTCGGTCGGACCGTAAGCGTTGAAGTAGTGGAAATCGTGTTCGAAGCGGGCACCGAGCTTACGGAAGCTTTGCAGGAGCTCAGGCGAGAACTTCTCACCACCCGCCGTGGCATATGCCCAGTGTGTGCTTTGAAAAAGACTAGTCGCGCCGTGCCTGAGCCAGGCGAGATATTCCGACGGGGTTGCGCTGGTGTATGTGATTTTCTCTTCCAGCACAATGTTGGCCACGGCTACAGGATCTTTGCGGAGGACTTCTGGAACGATGACGAGAGTACCTCCATTGGCGAGCGCCATGAAGATCTGGTTCAGAGACATGTCGAAACCCACGGAACTCTGCTGCAAGACCATCTCACCTCCAAACCCATGCGTGTGTACCAAGGCCTCTACGTGGTTGCGCAAGCTACCGTGTGATAACATCACGCCTTTGGGAACTCCCGAGGTTCCACTGGTGAACAATATAGCCGCCGGCTCGCTCGCTCGGGCGGAGACCGGAGGAAGAATTGATGTCCCACCCTGGAGAAGGAGGACATTCAGCACAGCCACGGATGGCGAGAGTTCCATGCTCGCGGTCTGGGGAGCCGTCGTGGTGTTGACAAGCAGCGCAGAGCACTTGGACTCTTCCATCATGACGCGGAGCCTCGCTGGTGGGATGTTGCAGTCCAAGGGAACGTAGACGGCGCCAACTCGGAGAATGGCAAGCAAGGAAAATACAAAGTGGGGCGACGGCTCCTGGAAGACCGCCACAACCGATCCGGGCTTCGTGCCTGCCTTGAGAAGTGCGGATGTTATCCTTCCGACATGTTGATCAAGCTGTTGGTATGTCCACGACATGCCGTTGCAGTCTTTGACTGAGGTCTCGTTCGGGTGCTTGGCGATCATCTCGTCGATACGATGCGCCAGAGTCTCCGGCCACTTGGAAGTCATTACGGGACCTGCAAGACGTTGTTAGCGCTCCGGGTCTGTGTTAAATGTGTAGACAGCCGACTTACCTTTTCCAAGCTCGATCGCAGTGCTGACATCCTGACTTGAGAATAAGGACACGTCCTGCAAGGCCATTCCGCAAGACCGAGAAAGGTCTTTCAACAAAGCGAAATACATGTCCAGAAGCTGGGATGCATCGCTTTCAGAGTACAGACCGCGCTGCACTAATAGAGTGACGCGAGTTTCGCCCCCTGGATTCTCGATGATGTCCAGAGACACGTCATAACCGGACCCCGGGAGATCAATTGACTTGACTTCAGCCTCTGCACTATCGAAGCGTCGCTTCTCACTCACACCCTGGCGATAGTTGATGAATGCTTGGAAGAGAGGACTGATTGCTGTCGACCTCTCGCAGCTTACGTTGTCGAGCAAAACATCGAATGGCAGCCTCGAGTGGGACATTGCTCGATAAGCCTTCTTGCGCGTGTCTTTCAGCACCTCCTCGAATGAGTGCTGATTCTCCAAATGGAACCTGAGCGGCAGCAAGTTCAGATACATGCCGATGCTCTTCGTGACTCGGTCGTCCCAGCGGTTGGCGTCGGCCATACCAATGCAAACATCGCTATTGCCGAACAGCTTGAATAGGAGGACCTCAAACACGCCTAGGTGGAAGTGGAATAGATTTGCCTTCCGCTCGCGACATGCGTCTTGGATCTGCGATGAGAGCTGCGAGTCGATGACGCGACTCACTGAGTTGTGCGCGTATGCGGTCAGTGGGACGCGATTCTTGGCTGCCGAGAATGGAAGAAGAGGGAGCGGCGACGGCGGTGCTGCGAACTCGGACCGCCAGTACTCTACCTCACCTTGCATTACCCCCGATGCCAAGTCCCCGCGCAGTTTCTCCGAGTAGGACGAATACTGATACGCTGGCTCAACGTTCAGGTCTTGGCCGTTGTAGGCTTTCTGTAGGTCAT